AATTCAAGCAACGACTGTATACGTATCAAATACAGTTGATATTTACGAATTGCTGCCATTTTTCATTGGATTCGTGAATGGATTCAGTTCGCTGTCTGTGATGATGTTGTATAATTTATACTTTATGCAAACGTTTTATAGATACTGTTTCTGTGTCAAAGGATTCCTCTTCAGTCTTAGCACACACAATCAAATTGCTGATCATAATGTGTGAGAATAATCACCAATTATTTGTTATTATCGTTAATTATTGCTTGATATTTGTAATTATTGCTTATTCCTCCACGTATTATTGCTCTTTCGTTTCGCACTGAGCTTCTGCCGAATTGTGAGTCTTATAGAATGCCGTCCAATCATAATTTCCATGTTGATTTCACTTTGACTCATCGGAAACGATCCCTAGCATTTTGTGATTTTCAGTTCAGAAATTTGCTCGGAATTCATTAGAATCACTCGTTCTAGGATCGTTTAAAAATTTGCCATGCGAGCGTGCACAGTACTACTGATATCAAATGTAACTGAATTCATTTGTGCTCTAATCCTACTGAATGATTATTACTATCATTATCACACTTATTTGAATGTTCATATTGCTGTTCTATTCCTGCTACTTTATAGGGTATTGAAAGCATAAATTCCGGCATTATTACCTCTCAATTAATATTGGATTTTTTATCAACTGCAATAGCACGTTTAGTCTTTTCATCTTAGAAATTGCCAGTCAGCCTATTGTGTGTTCGATGAATATGAATTGGATTTGTTCATGTGACGAAACGTTGCTATAACAGTTTCATTTGCTATGTGCTTGTATGTTTGTAACGTCTAGCACTTGTAACTGTGTCGAAAATTGTGTGTTAAGTTTGACAATAACTTAAGAGATGCTTTTTCTATTCGAAAAAGTATTAGTCGGTTCACTTTTAATAGTGATTGATTGTATTCATCAACATTTCATTCATCGTTTATACACTGTCGATTTTTGTCGAATATCTTCGCAACAATCCAGAAACATACAAATTCCGCACTGACGATGTGTTTGAATATGAAGGCTGGCCATTGATTTTACGATTGAAAAGAACTGGTCGACAGCGAGGAAAAGAACGAAAACTGATTGATATTTGTGATATGAAATGATGTTCTTAATGTTTTGGGTGTATAACTGTTCGATATTAATTTCTATTGTGGCTGTTCGGTTATAGAAAGTTTTGTGTAATTACTAAGATTGTACGCGACACACATTGATGTATAGGTATTTCATCTAACAATAAATATTCTATCATATTTTGGACGTTGTTCCAATTGATTGCTTACGAGTACGTTTCATATAAAGAAGAGATGAATGAAGTGGTGCAAATTATGATTGAAAAATCNTGAAAAATCATTGCTACATCTCGGTGAGAAGAGTTTGAATGATTAAAAAATGAGTAGAAATGAATCAAAACTCGAGTGTAAACATCATATTTACGAAAACATCACAAATAAATTACTGAGAAGCATTGCAAACTGCGAAAATAACCAGGATGTTGGCATGGGTGCCAATTACAAAAATCAGACAATCGTGTCGGGACTCAACTTCACGATGGTAGCTCAAAATTTTTTAAATTTTTAAATCAAATTGTGTCTCGACAAGATTGTTTGCAACACGGTATTCGGCATAATGCCAGATGTTCCACATCACTTCTTCAATGCAATATAATTCAGTAAAGAGAAAAGTGAGAGATGAAAGTTGTTGGAATGGCGGGTTTGTGGCGGATTTATGCGCATTTTTTGCGGGTTTCTCCCTCGAAATAGGTGAATTAGGACCGAGGTAATGCGCCGGGTTATGTTTCGAGTCAATGTTTCGAGTCGATGTCATTTTCTCGAAAAATGCCCTTAGAATGTTTTCAAAAGTGAATTGAACGATTTGATTTCTTTTTTCTGTAAAAATTGCGTGTTTTTGATTATTTTTACGCTATTTGCTCTGTTATGTAGCTGTCTCAGTATTGTTCTATATCTATCGCAAGTGTTGTGAATTTACTTCTTTTAAATAGATGGACAGTAATCACTTCATATGGTTGGATGAAATTTCATGTGTTTTGATTCAGTTGTCATTCGTAGCTGAATTATTTGTTTTTGCGGTTTTTTGTGTTTAT